TTAACGTTTAGAACAACAACAAGACTTAATATATTTGTGTTTTTCTTTCATTTGAAAGGAGACAAAGAAAATATCCAAAGAAAAAACTTGAATAGATGCTCAAGTCACTCCGCGGCTCCTCGTTCCCTAGGCCTTCATTGCTCATATTTTGGCTGTGAAAACCGAAGCTATTCGCCTTCTGGAAGAAAAACCAAGTATCACTTCTTTAAATCCCATTACAAAATCCTGAAAGAACACAGTGGTGCAATAGAATGGGCAAAAGGGAGGGGAAAGATGGTTTCAAAGTGACTAAAAACACGAAGTGCTGTGACAACCATTTTCGCCCAGATGAAATCACCCATGTGCCAGGAGGAACACGTTGGAGCCTGAAGCTCAATGCCACCCCTATTAAAGTCGGATGCAAGCCTTCAGATCTGGATGGATTGAAGAGGAAGCAGCCAGCAGATAGAGTCATTGATAGTCGCGATAATTCCAAAAGACAATGCTTTGTGGATACGGTTTGGTCCTGCAGTACTGAGAAATATTATCAGCCAAAACCATTGTCAAGAATTGCTGTCAATGCAGTTAAAAATGCATATATAGTCCTTAAAGAAGAAAATAAAGAACTTAAATCAAAAGTGAAAGCCCTACAGAAAACCATCGAAGATAAAGAACTCCAACTAAATAAAAAAACATTTGGTGTAAATATAATTGAAAACAATACTGAACTGTGTAGGCATTATACAGGTCTACCTGACTTTGACAGAGTGAAGGCATGTCTGAAATTTTTAGATGTTGGAGAGAAGGGGGAGAATGTCATCATGAAAGGCTCCAAAGGAACTGGAAGTACTGGACGCCCGAGATGTCTAAGTGTTGAGAATCAATTTCTCTTGGCTTTGGTTAAATTAAGGCGTGGTTTTTCAAATGCGCACTGTGCATTTTTATTTGACTGCTCAGAGAGCACAGTGGTTAATGTWTTTTCTAGTTGGCTAAACTACATGTTCTTAAAATTCACTGTTCTACCAATATGGATATCCCGTGAAGAGATCAATACATCGATGCCTTGCAGTTTTAAAGCAGCATTTCCAAGAACAAGAGCAATAATTGATTGTACTGAGATTTTTGTAGAAGCACCAGAGTCACTTCACCTGAGATCAATGTATTACTCAGACTACAAACATCACAATACTTATAAGGCCTTCATCTCAATTACACCTGCTGGTAGCCTTTCATTTGTCTCGGAGCTCTTTCCTGGTAGTGTGTCAGATAGAGAAATTGTGGAACGCTGTGGCTTTTTGCGACAAGAGATGTGGGATAAAGGTGATGAGGTGATGGCAGACAAGGGTTTCACCATCAGGGACCTGTTGGGTCCACTTGGAGTCAAGTTAAATATGCCTCACTTTCTGGAGGATAACTTACAGTTTACCACAAACCAAGTATGTTTTAATCAGAAGATTTCGTCCCTCAGGATACATGTTGAAAGATATATCAGCCGAATTAAGAACTTTGGAATTTTTGACAAGCCAATTCCTGTAACAATGCATGGATCTGCCAATCAAATTTTTACTGTCTGTACTTTTTTAGTTATGTTTCAGGATCCTATTATTTCTGTTAAATGATTAATTAGSTAATGATGCAATATTATGGAGCCTTTGATGATGCATGGCCATGCAGGCAATTGCAAATAAGGAAACCGCTAGCTAAAACCTCACATAGACTTACCTGGAAATATTTTTATTGCATAATTACTTAAAATTATACAACAATCAATTAAGCTATGGGCATGTAAAATTGTTGTTTGAAAAATATGACATAAAGATAAAATGTAATTTTCCTAGAGAAATTTATAATTATGAATATAATTGAGTTATGAATATAATTATGAAAATTATAATTTGCACAACAAGACACCTATTGCTGGTCAATTGATTTATTGATTAATTGCTATAATTTATTATTAAATTTTATACATGACTGTAATTATATTTTAAAATACAAATGTGTTGTGAAAGCTGAACTGATCTAAATTATTATTATTATTCACAAAAGAGAGCAAAAAATATGATTACATTGTCATWAAAGTGTTTCTTTAAAATTTAGGCAAAATGAAATTAAAGTATTTATTTCCCACATCATTAACAACGGTATCCCAAAATTGACTGTCAAATTTAACTCTTACAACACCTATACTTCTGAAAGTGTAGACAACAAGGTCACAATATTGAGCTCCTGTCAGGGCTAACTGACATTGTATTTGAGTGTATGTCGAATGATCCTTTCTTACATCTAGTTTATTGTCACTATTGACCAATAGCATGAATGAATTGCTTGATTTTGCGACATCAAAAATATCACAGTTTTTATATTGTTCTGGGCATTTGGACTCTCCAATTCCAATGYTATTGCCACATATCAGACGAGCATCAGGGGAGCATCCTAACCAGACATTCTTTGGGTCAATAACCAATCCACATGACATAACATCTATATTTATATTTAGGTCTGATTCCATGCACTCTTTGTATTTTTCCCAAGCCACCGGTTCATACATTTTTCCATGGGCCAACTTTCTTTGTAGGACTGGATTTTTACATGTATCAAGTGTATGATTGACAAATTTTTGTCCATGATTTTCCATACCTCTTTTCCATCGAAAAACTTCATCAACTCGAGAAGCAGTAACTCTCAATTTTCTCAGATTGTGCCACAATACATTACTGGATTGGTTACGAGTTGCCTCTTCAATAGCTTTTGCATCATCAATTGTTACCTTTAGTTGTTCCAATGTAATGTTTTCAYGAACACCAAGATTTAGGGGACTAGAAAAGTAAATTGGGATGTTTCTATGGGGAAAATCAGGATAAATTGTTGCTGGAGTTGAGGAGTATTGAGTTGAAACAACTTCTTCAGAGTAATATGCATTAAAGTTATTGCCATACTTGCTGCATTGACTTGCTTGCATTGAATAAATTGGTACCCTACCAAACCTTGTGGAAGTCCACTCCTGATCACTTATATTTTCTCGTAATCCATGAACTAATGGAATAAGGGGATTTATGTTTTTCAGACTTTGCTTCAAGTTTTCAATTGCTCTGAATGGGTAGGATTGTGAATTTGTAGATCTGGCCTCATAAAGAGTGCATTTTATTCCAGGMGAATGTTTGTCCAATTTGGCCTTCTTGACAACAGTTTCCATRACTGTTGGCTTTATGGCATCTGTTTTTCTCATTTGTGGTACAGTMCAACCACAAGGCCTTGATGTACAGGGCAATAACTCTGGTATGGTATCCAACTTGTCCAAAGCAAATTGACCAACTATCTYGAGCAAAGCATAAATATGGTTGCACAAGCCACCATTCCCAKCCACACATGAACAGAATGCATACTCCACTATTGCTGTTTTAGAACCAATACAACAGCTTAGCTGATGAAAGGTATTTTTCCTGTAGGAGGCACTACAAATGGCCTTTATGTGAAAATAAGGTTCCTGACTGCAGCAAAAAATATTGTCCAAAAAATTGTCAGAAAGTATGTTGTCAGCTCTCTTCTTTGTTTTAGCAGTCTTTCCTGATGATGAAAAGAAGTCCTCCAGCTCTCGAATGGTAAAAGGCGGCATCCCTGAGAGGTCTCTTCCCCAAGATAAACTATTACATGTCTTCCAGTAATCACCTGGAAATTAAAGGGAATTGGTGTTATTATATGTATGTATAATATATACCTGTTTATTTATTTTCTGGAAAATTAACAATAAAAATAAGATTTTATTTAATCTTTGATCATACATTTTCATTTTTATTTGYATTTCATATGTCAATTTAAGGCACCTTTAATAAATGTAGTTGTTGAATATGACACTCTACTACAGTCTTTGCTTTCATTTAGCTCCTTTCCTCTTGAGTATATCTTGTTAGGAGAAGGATCGATTACAACCTTTTCTTGGCCATTTTTCACGTATTCATTGATTCTTGRAAAAATCAAATTGATAGATATTTAAAATGACAAATTATGGAAAATTCAATAACTAAAAGTATAGGTAAAGTAGCTTGTAATTCACCTTTGAATGCATGCAGCTTTGGTTGGAAGTTTCTTGAGCGAGTCCCCTCTACACTTCAGCCAGAATTTGAGNAAGACGGTCTACCTGTGCTTTTTATATTGACAGCAGGTAAATTACGAGCCTTAATGACAGCTAGCGTTATTCTTTCTGCAGACTTCAAGAAACCTAGTGAGATAAGTATTTCACCCAGCTCTAATTCCTGAAATTTAAAAAAGATAATGATAAAAATGTTCTCATAATCTGTGATGTCTACGGGTGAGTGCATGGTATATTACAGAGCTTTTAATAGCATGACGTTCACGGGCAGAAATTTAAAGATCACGTGACCTGCTTTTTAGGGGTTTACCGTTACAGTTTCAACGCGAGAGTGGGTTAGTTTGGAATGGGGTTGCCATAATCGTGAAAAGCCGCTCTTTCCAATGACTACCAAAAGCACAAGGTCATGCACGAAATTCTTAGGTCATTGGTTCAGCTCTGCAGTTAGCCGTTTGCGGTAATAATGCTTACCTTTTTACTGGGCTGTAAATCTTTTAAAAATATGTTTGGCTTTGTCAAATTTATCTCTTGTAACGGAACTACGACTTGCCCTATAAAAGAAGCAACAGCAACATTTATTATAGATATATCAAGCAAAAATGAAAACAAACATTTTATCTGTGGAAAAATCTAAACTAATTACTGTTTTTACGATTTTAGCGATTTGTATTGATGAAGAAAGGGAGATATAAACGAAGGAAATTATCCTTTAGCAGCATGATGAGTGAGGGTTTTGACAAATGTAGCCTTGTCTGCTAGGAATGAGATATATACCATGATACATTGCAAAACCATTCAAAATGGCGGGCTTGTGATATGGACTATTGAATCAGCTAAATTAGATCACAATCGCTTTCCAAGAATATCGCAGGCGCGTTCATGAGAACGAGGTAATTTTTGGGACAAAGATATAACCTTCGTGAGGAATACAGTGCGAAATACCTCGTTTGCATGTGCGCATCCGCGATACTTTTTGAAACCTTCCACGCATCTCGGAAATCCTGTAAATGTCAGGGTCATGCGTGCGTGATTTGAATTTCTATAAGAATCGTGGAGTGACTTTACCAAGACTTTACCTATTAGGTCATGTTTTGAAAACGTTCCAAACGAGAGCAATGTGATGATCAGCGATTGCTGCTGTAGACTTTTCTTGTTGATGTCAAACTCAAACGTCTCGTCAAACCGTGGGTCTGTCGTCTTTCGTTGTACATTTGACTGTAGTTGGTTATCGAAGTCCGGCAGTAGCTGTATTATAGCGTACGGATTGCAGGGCTGGTCAGCGTCCTCGAGCACGCTTATTGGAACCAACAAGCTGAAAGCTTGCACCAGTCTCACTAGCAAAACATGGCGATGTGAGTCGAATTCGACGACGAATTGTACTTTACCRAGATTAGATGAGCTGAGTGCTTCTTTTTCAAAGGGGTCTTCGATCTCCTTATGAAGTATAAATAGAAAAAGTCAATTTACAAATTATTGATAGTTTCTCGCGGCATTTCCCCTTATTTACCAAGATCATCGAATCGTCAAAATTGTTCTTAATCCACGAGACGAAGTCATACATTTGGATTCTATAATTAGACAACCATCCCAGAGAAAAAGAACAATCTTGTGACCATAGTTTCATTTGCCACGTCTCGACTAATCATAAATCGAGAGAAAATTTACAATTGTGAAAAAATAACAACTATTTAAAACAAAGCGATATGGAAATGAAAGAAAGCCGTTATAGTGCTTAGAAGGAGGCAATTCGGGGAGAAAGACCCTTAGAAATAAATTCGGAAAAATTAATTTCTGACCTCGCTGGGATTCGAACCCACGACCTTCGGATTTGTACTACCGGATTTGTACTACCGATTTATTCCTAATAAGGGTCTTTCTTCCGGAATTGCCTCCTTCTAAGCACTATAAGTTTCTTTCATTTCTATATCGTGTCTATCATAGTGCCATGCGGTCCTCATATTCATATTTAAAAAAACACCTATGCGCTMYGTCCAGGCACGTCTGTGCATTGCWTTGGGTTTGCTCTCATTGTGCCTTTTTACGCTKTCCTACATGTCTTAACSCGMAGTTACATCATTGCACCTTTGTATCCCATGTGCCTTAGMGAGCTGTTCTAAGCTCACTTTGAACTCGGTCCCAARTTTCATTCATACCTCAAAAAATGTATACATCTCTGGATCCAGGTTACCAAGAGGAGTCSCAGGTCCAGACATCGTTGATTCGGACACTGTTCGTGTCCGTTCTTTGTACGATAAAACATCTGAGTACTTACGATACGGGGGAGGCTCGGAATATTTTCGGAACCGTTCGGGCTCGGAGAATTTCCGKCCTGGTCTCGGYTGYACGTGTACTTCACGAACGGTTCCAGCTAATAAGAATTATAATGAGAAATTTTAGGAAAGAAAATATTTAAATAAGTAAATGAATATAAAATGGTTAATTTAAAATTGAATAGTATGTTTGACAGTGACTTACGGGAAAATGGTGGRCTAGTGGAATCAGATAGACGGAGTGAGACTCCTTTTCTTTCAAGTAGGGCAGGCTCTGACGCACTKCGATGATAATCYTCTMCCTTCTTCTTCSTCTCTAAACGGTTGWGTTTGTACCACTTTACCATCAAATAAACAGCGATGCATATCACAAGGATACAAAATGCTGCCACAGAGATAATCCATGCTATGGCTGACATATCTGCAAATTCAGCACCAATATTAGTTGCATTCACTGGAAAAAATCGCGCGCTTGAAAGGTTGTAAATTTGATGTAAATATGATGTAAGTGTCCAAAATTCTGTAAATTTAATGGAAATCATTTACATCAAGTTTACAGAATTTTGGACACTTACATCGTATTTACATCAAATTTAAAACCTTTAAAGCGCGCGATTTTTCCCAGTGATTGTTGAACAGGTGAATGATTTGTTTATATTTTTGCTTCATTATCATATAATTAGCATAAGTATTATATGTTTTATATAACAGACACCAAATCAGTCAGCTCTGAATATTGAAACAATGCAACAAAAGAAGCTTTTCTCGGAAATTGGAGCTCATATACTATAATTTATGTGCAARCGGTTTTAAAAACTAAAATTCTTAAAGAGGATAAAAATGAGCTAATAGATTTTTGAAGCTTTTGTGTGTCATTTACGTGACTTGCAACGAGTATGTGATCAGTTTCTAGAGAGAAAAAATAAAAGAAATCCGTCATGTTTTGTCCCTAATCTATTCTATCATGTGTCATATATAAAAGCTTCAATGGTCAATTAGTGGTTTTGCTACTCAGCATTTTAGACCACTAATATTTCATATATTTACATATAAAAGGCTTAAACGTTTTTAGATGGTAGTTTGTGGAGAATTTTAAAGGACATAAAAAGCCGCTTGGTTTTCTTTAACCATCATGCATTGTTCTAGAAAGTACCGTCGATGCACATCGCTTGTTTACGGCTAATCTTTCTCACGGGATTCGTTGTATTTGTCCAAAACTTTGATGCTATGCGCGCAACCTCCAGCTATTCTATATTTCATATTATGTTTGTCAATATATTTTTCTGTTACTATCGCTGTCATGATTGTAGGCAGACAGCTGCACCAGTGCGGGACGCTTTTGTCTGTATTCCACGAAATTCAGCTGCATTTCATATTTGAAACATGAACATACCCTTGATATTAAAAAATGAACAATACCCTCGCATTTGTGCTGCATTATTCTGATTGGATACTCTATAAGATGTGTAATCTTGTTAGAACATAAGAAGTTAAAAACTAGTGGATCAAAAGAATGCGCAATGCCTTTCAATAATCGGTGAAGATATAAGCGACTACCTGACGCTCTGTCATGTATATTAATTCTATACTCATTTGTCGGCAAGCAAACGTGCAACAGATATAAAATGATGCGCTTTAGACATCTCAATGTCTAAGTTTCATCTGGATTGTTAAATGGGCCTGCTTTATTGAACACTATTTGCAACTGGAGCTGAAACTTCATATAGTTGATTTGCGATTTGATAAACACAGGATCTACCGCTCAGGAAACTTGGATTTATTCATCTATTCACCGCCAGCAGATTTTCTCTAWAAAACTTCACCACCTTTGAAGCAGAAGGAAATTTATAGTTATTTTCGCAACGATTCACTACGCGATAACTAAAGGTTTTCGAACTGACTATACGGCATATTGGTGTAGGCCAAGTACTTTTAAAATGAGTCAAAATGGAGGGGTTCCTTTCAACGTCCGCTACAACGAAACAGCACCCAACGAAACTACAAACGAACCATCAMTCGACAATCTATCTAAAGATGGCATCATTTCTTTAATAACTATAAACGTTGCAAGCTCTCTTTCAAGCTGCGTGCTGAACTTCTTGATCATCTTGACTTTTGTGAAGACGYCATCTTTGCGAACACCTTCGAATATTCTTATTCTTGCTCTAGCTATCAYTGACTTTGGTGTTGGKGCCGTATCGCAGCCAGTCTTTTGCGTGCGGTTATTTTCCTACCTTCCTAATGTTAAAAGTCTTTTYGATAATATTGAAAACACATCGAGSGCGATTAACGTGGYATTTATYASTGCATCGTTYTTGACAATMACCGCCATYACTGTCGATCGATTCCTTGCCATTCACTTACATCTAAGATACCAAGAGTTCGTCACAACAAAGCGRACTTGGATCGTCGTCATTGTKATCATGGYATCGAGCACAGCTATCTCATTTCTTTTCTCTCTACGCCATTCTGTTATTAAAGGCATGTATATAGTTCTTGTGTTTTCTCTGCTTCTTATAAATATATTTTTGATGGTGAGAATTTCACGTACTATAAACAAACATTCGGCGCAGATTCAGCAACAATTCCAAGCTACAGACTGTGCAAATATTGATCTCCCAAGATTTAAAAAATCAGTCAACACAATGTACTTCATCATTGGACCATTTCTTCTCTGCTACATCCCACAGCTATGTAATGGCATTATATATCGAGCTACACACGGAGAAAGCCCATCCTTGATGGTATTTTTCTCAACCTCCACGTTACTGTTCATAAATAGTTCTTTAAATCCGATTATTTATTGTTGGAGAATACAAGAAATGCGAAAGGCTGTTGCGAAACTGTTTGAAGGTTGTCCATGTCAACGCCAAGAACTTTAGTAYATCTAAATTCAGTGTTTTTTAGTTTTTGCTTTACTTGTTTTCTATTTTGATGTTGTTGTTGTTGTTGTTGTTTTATTTTGTTTGTATTTTTTTTATAGCACTTTCGGCTTTCGGTCTCAATATTCAATATTTAGTAAAAAGCGCGAAAATGTACTAGCCAAAATAATGCTAGATAGCTCCTAGTAGAGATCAGACAAGATGAAATAAAGGAATCCGATTAATTTAAACCGCAAAATTTAGCACCTATTTTCATATGTAATTATATATCCAATTTGTGATCCTAAATAAGTACCTGAGACCAATTATTTTATTCACTAGCCAGTTAGTAAAATATGTGGATATATCATTAAAAGGTAATAGGACTCCATTATGTCCAATTAAGAAAATCCTCTGGCTGACAGTCCTCGACAGTTCTCGGCGATTTCCCTCGTGCAATTATTTCTTAATTGTCAGATAGTAATGCGACTTCATGCTGTCGAATAATTAAGAAATAATAGTAGGTGAGGAAGATTCCGAGGACTGCAAAATTAGACAATTTTAATGTTGTCCAATTTGTCAGTGAGAGCCGAAAGGTTTCTGTTCTAACTGTCTAATAGTCTCCTTCACGATCACGTGCGCCATCTTGAAAGGTAACCATGCCTTTACATMGAAGAGAGACAACTGTTAAGAGTGCAATGATAAAAACCTTTTTTCGCACCTACAGACAATTATTCACAGGTATCTATCATTAATTGCACGCTCAAACGATGGTCTCGCTTCGATGTAAAGGCACGGCTACCTTTCAAGATGGCGCACGTAACCGTGAAGGAGACTATTGAGAAAATATTAGAAAATGACCCTTTTAGGGTAAAAGTGTTTGTTTAAGCAGAATTGACTAAAATTAACTCCACCAGATATGGATTGTGTTTAAAGCTGTTCACAGCTTATGTCCGATCTTCCTCGATCAGTAATGGGTTTTCATGCCGACACTAAAATATATTCTCAAATTTCTCTGAGCCAAGCATTTTTAAAATAAGCCAATTACAACTTGGGTTTTATCTTGATGACCGGACACTCTCTTCTATTCTGATACTGTTAAAAGAAACCTTTTTCTGCACTTTTTACATGGGCTTCCAAAGGAAGACCATGTCTTAAATTACCGACGTTTTTCGTCTGTGGTTTTCGAATTTTCTTTCCCCCACCTATAAATAAGGCCGAACACTCATTTTTTATAGGTGGGGGAAAGAAAATATCGCTGATCGTCTAGTTTTATACAAATTGAAAAGAAAACGAGAGTTGCCAACAAGTCACGGTCACTAAAATTAACGCTCTGTTATCTTAAAAGATGAAACTATTTTACGTTATAGATTGCTATTTTTCACGAAGTGCACTAGAAAGCGGATAAAGACAATAAATATATTAAGCTTGTAATTTCATTTGTCTGACACCGTAATTGTTTCTCGTAAGCAGACAGCTGTATCAACGGACGCT